GCTCTCAGCTCATGTTGGAGCCAGTTTCTACTATCATGTCCTTGCAGAGAAGAGGAAGGAGGATACTAGTGGGAGACAACGAAGGGATTAGAGATGTTCAGTATAATAAGAAGGGTGAAAGCGTGTGTGTCCGTGACGGTTTGTTTTCATCTGATTTCAAATAAACTAAGTCTTGGTTTTTAGAATATTAAACTTATTTCGCCAAATTCAGATGATAAATACAACTTGTAATCTTGTAAAGGCATAATTACAGGCGGTAACTTAACGTCACAGCAGGCATAACAACAGCCGGTGTGTATTGGGTGGTACGCGGGTGACAAACGCGTCACAGATTATTTTTGCGGTATTTGGCTGCCGAACGAAATCATGTACGCAGCTCGCGACGTAACTAGGAGTCGTGTGTGTGTGTGTGTGTGTGTGTGTGTGTGTGTGTGTGTGTGTGTGTGTGTGTGTGTGTGTGTGTGTGTGTGTGTGTGTGTGTGTGTGTGTGTGTGTGTGTGTGTGTGTGTGTGTTGTGTGTGTGTGTGTGTGTGTGTGTGTGTGTGTGTGTGTGTGTGTGTGTGGTCATAACGGCAGTTCAAGTCCACAAAGTGTATAGGTAAGTTAAAAAGACTTCTGAACCCTGCTGCTCATCTCTGCTTGAGGCTCTAGGCAATATTATTCACTATGACATAATACCCCTGAATCTTTTACAGAACTTTCAGATGGTGCCATTTTTCAACACTGAACTGAAAAAGACACTGTTCAGGTCCCGCTTTGTATTTTTTTAAACTCCCTTTCAAGTACAATAATATTTGTGATTGCTCTGCTGAATCAATAGAGCGCTCTATTAACTCCAGTGTTTAATACCTTCTGTTAAATGATTTCAAAATGACGAAGGTCAGGAGTTCTGCACCATAAATCCCACCCCTCTGTTGTAAAGTTGTTAAAATACTGCAGATAAAATCAAAACAATGTAATGAGTGTGGACACTAAAAGGCTTTGAAGATAAAACAGGAAAGGTCAAAGCCTGCTTTAGAACTTGAAAGCTTGGATTTATATTTTTTCGCAGAATGCTATCTCGAATTACATCTTCCTTCCAGCATCTGGTTACTTCAAGTCGAAGGAGGCTCCAGGCAAACAGTTCCCTATAAATTATTACTTCAGTCTGCCGTGTATCCTTCTTTACTACTGAAGCTTTTTCAGAACCATTCCTCTTAAGACTGATGGCATATGTATGGAAGCAAGTGGCCTCTTCCCTGCCTTTATTTAGAACATAACAGAAAATATAAATATAGTACGCCACATCGTTTTTACTCCCCACCGGCAGAGCTTGGAAAAATAAAGGTCAATTGCGCTATATCAATTGTGTTGACCTTACCTGATCTGTCCATTATCACTGTGAAAGCAGCAGCCAATTGGATTAAGTCCATAATAACAGCTCTATGCTACTGTTTTGATTATTATTTTTTGCCTCCATTGAACGCCCAGCTGTTACAGGTTATATCATTTTCAAAAGCTCAATTTGTGCGTGTGTATACGTGTTAGTGAGTTTACTCTTCAGGCAGGGGTCCAGAGCACATCTCGGCTGCTATGGCAACTAGGCTGGCAGCCCCACTGCTGCCTCATGGCAAGAGCACAACACATGGATAGACGCACCAACACACGCACTGGAGATATCGCCACAGCACTGCTCCAGTGACACACACTGCAGGGAGACTCAGTTTTCTGCTTAATTACCCAGGATTCAATGCTAGGGAACAAGGAAAGACTGGGGTCAATATGACATAAAGATAACATGGCAGTGAGGCGATTTTAATAGCAACAACGGATGCATTCAGTCAGCTGAACCTGTGGTTAAGTATGGGAAGGAAGTGACCTTTGACACGAGAGACTAGCAGTGTAACAGTGATTGATAAAAGCACTACAAATAACTAACTCCTCAACAGAGTCTTATTTAATTTTCAATAAGTACTGCCAATTTGTAAGGCAGTTTCCTGTCAGTACAGTGTTGAAAGTAATAAGAAATCCGGTACGATAAAATAAACATTGACTGTTCCTTCCTTCCTTATCAGAAAATATGAATAATGGAGTGTTCATCGCTCGACAAACCAATATGTTTCTGTCTGGTTGACTCACTTCCATCACTTATTCAGCGCCGCTGATCCCAAAACCACGATGCGTTGATATTACCCGTGGCAGCTGTGCTAATGCAGTACACTCTCGTGGCAGCCATTCTCCTCTGCTAATATGCAAACCATTCAATGTACCTTCCAGATGTATCATAGTAATTAGTCTGTTTGTTTGCTGATTATTTCAGTTAACTGCCCACATCTCCTCTGTTGTTATTACTGGCAAAAACAACAAGGAAATAACACACAGGCGAAAGAAAAATGCAGACTAAATAAAACTGTTATTTCCGATGGGCTGAAAGAATGTATCAAAGATCAATCCTCTCTCAGCCTCCCATAACCAGAGCGGGCTCACCGGTGCCTAAGCTTTTCAAAGTCATTCCTTTCCATTGATGTGGATATCAATATGGGATCTGGGTAGACTCAGTGATGTTTCATTTTTATCTTCGGGCGCCTCTTTGTGTATGCATCTTTGTGCGAGCCACAATGACGTTTCATTCAATCTCTTACCTTTCTTCACTATCAATTTCAAAACTCATCATCAAACAATGATTTGAAGTATTTGGTTTTCTGTTCCTTTCGAACCAGAATCCAGACTGAAAGGTTATTTGTAGATTGTGATGCAGCCTGACTGTTTTTGGTATCTGACACCCTTGCCTCTGTGTGCAGCCATGGTGGCTTTCCCTGCTCAGTACACTACCTAGGTGTTCAAGACTGCGTAGAAGTCAAGTTGTTTTTTGGAGAGACATCCACCAGAAGAAAGACGACTAGAACTGCTTTTATCCTGGGTTTGTCAGATTGCAAACCAATCCTATAAAAAGACCAAAACCAACAATGTGTCAGGCAGTGTGTCGATATATATCATATCCTGTCTTTGGCTTTCAGCCACAAGCTCATCAGTGACCACTGAAGACATGGACACAAATATCGGTTTTATATTTAGCGAAACCAGAAGCTCGACTCTGGGGAAGACAATTTAAATCTGATGATTGACATTTGGTATCGATATAATGCTGCCTAGAGGATTGGTGGTTCCCTTATATTTGTCCAGTGCCCACATGTCAAAGCTTTAACTGATGCAGTGGGTTAAAATTAAAATGTCTCAACATTTGCTTGATGTATCTGGACCAATTCAAAACCCCCAGACAATCAATCCTAATGACTTTGTTTAACACGACTTTTCCTCCAATGGCACTGTGAGAGAATATTTTAATCCGATCTGTGTATTTAGAGGTTCTCAGTCTTTCTGTAAAACTGTTAATCACAAAGTAATGCTTTTCGTTAAACCACATATACTCCTGCCTGTAATGTGATCCTGAGTGTAACCTACAGGAGGACAGGTCAAGAGGTCATCTGACTTCCTGTGGGGTGAGGGGTTTGGGCACATGAGAAGTTGCAACACAAAGGTGCCTTTGTTCCGATGTCTGGTACTGATTAGGGAAAAGGCGGGAATATAGATCCCTCCTCTTTTAATGTATAGATCTGTGCTGTGGTCCTTTGTCTCCAGAGTTTGCTTGGTGTCTCATAAAGAAGTTGTGAATATACCTTGTGAATTCTCCGGCCGTATTATAATCTTAATAAATATCAGCATTTGACTAAAGCAGCTCCAGCTTCCATCCTTTCTGCACAGAAGTTTTCCTCACAGGCACCATGATGTCAACATTTGTGATTTTGAGTAAAATGTCTCTAAAACAATTATATGGATTGCCATAACATTTTGTACACATATTCCCCTCAAGATGATTCGTAAAAACTGATGGGTCTGCTTCAGTGGACAAATTTGAACATTTAAATCAGTTGCCTCAGGCACGTCGTGTCAATTTGCAGAATATTGCCAAGCTGTTAGTCTTTCCAACAAGGACTCGCGGTCCCTCAGCGAGCTGAAGTGTGTGACAGCCCAGGAGGTGCCAACAAATCCCCAGATGATGCAGAGCTATTGCTATGTGTCCTCCGGAAAGAGAAAACTGAAATGTGCATGCACCACCACCTGTCGAAACATCAAGGATTACAGAGAAAAATGCCCTTGCATTTTGCTACTCTGGATTTATTTCCAGGCGCACAACAGGAAAGCATTGGGAACATTTGATTACATTTTTTCAATCATTCAGCCATCTGTTGTAACAGGAGAGGCAGTTAGCAACGACAATGTAGTTAAAGGAAGTCTTGTATCCCAAGAGCCTCTGCACCCTGGTAAGTGTGACTGATTAAACATTCAGGGGGGAAAAGGGCGATGAAAACTTGGAGGTCTATAGGGTTATAATTATCTGGGTTTTTATGATAGTGAATTCATTGCTGAAGAGACACAAGGGCAATGTTGTATCCATATTTCCTGGCAACAAGACACTCACAACATTATGTGATTGAAAATAAACTGGGTAAAATACTAAAGGCGACTTTAATATTTGCCAAAGATCAGCCTATATTTTATAAAATGTAAAGCAAAGCGAGGAAAGAACATTTTCAACCTCAAATATTTAATTTACTGGACCTGCTAAAGGGTAACTGGATGTGACATCATCCATCTCTGCTGCCTAAAAATGTTTCTTGCCTTCAGGAAGCGTTAGTATTATCATATGTGCCCTCTTTAACAAAGGAGGAAGGCAGCCTCCCGTTGTTTAGTGCTTCTATATTTGCATTTGAGGAAGAATATGTATGTATGAGTTTGTGTGTGTTTGTTGTTCAAACAGCTGTGGAGCATATGATAATTCAGGATGACTCATCCAGACCTTTGCTTATTATTTTGTATGCAGGGGACGAAGAAAGAGAAAGGAAGTGTGTGTGTGTTCATATACCCACTAGATGCTGTTGCCTCTAACTGACCCCTAAGTGTAGCTCCTATATGTGAATCCTTGCGTAGGAATCAGTCTTGGTTGAACACATAAAAACACCTTTCAGTGAAAATACAATTTATTTTAAACATTTACCAATAAACTGCTTTGGAACCAGTATATGAAATACTCTGGTAAGATTCCTTCACACCAAAGGGCTCCATCGATGTGGATGTTTCATCATTCAAAATGTGTTGCATTTAAGGTAGCACAGAGAATGTTTGAAGTACATGGACTAATCTGGTCAAATGTATTAGGCATCATAAAAGTTCACATACTGAAGATAGAAACAGCAATGTCTTCAGATATTCAGTTCTGGACGACACACATGTTTATAACAAAATATGCTGAGACATTATTACTATGTTGCTCAGTAGCTGAATTCCTGAATTCCAAACTGCAATCATTAGCACATGGTTAATATCATCCCAGAGAAAATAAATAAATATAAAAGCAACACGTGGGGCTGTAGCGGAAAACAGTTTGGCTCACATTTTAAAGTCCAACCAAAGCAGAGAAGCTCAAGCTTTCTTGCCTGCAAACTTATTAGCAGTGAATCTTTGTCCGGCTGCCCTTTCAGCAAGGACAAGATGTACGTTTAAATGTTTTTTAGGGAAGCTACGAAACTAAGCTAGATGTGGGTTGTTGATAAAGAGCAGATATGTATTCTGTAACAGACAAGAAAATGTTACTTAAGCTCGGTTGGACTTTAATTTTAAAGCTTGACGGATTTACAGATAGCACAAGATAAATGCATTGATTTACTGATTGCTGGAATGCAATGGCAGTCTGATACACTCTTTTAAACTGATATCTGTCTAAAATATAGTTTTTTCCAAAAGTAAAGAGCCAATCGCTATTCTCTTCATTAGGCTAAGTCATTTATCAAACTGGAATTCCTAAGATGTGATTATTATTTGTCATCATTTCATAGAATATCATTGAAAATAAACATTAGTTACAGCCCTGATTTATCATCATTTTGGCTGTCTTCTAGTTTATTAGTATTCACATATTAGGACTTCCTCTAATACTGAATAAGTTTGTGGATAGGTCTACGGAAATGAACAACACATGGATAATACAATGCATATCCTGAGTGAAGTCAATACATGAAAAAAAGTCAATATGCCTGTAGCACAGCCAAAGACAAAGATTGTTACTTGTAGTTTTCAGTAGCGGACATTACACTTTGCTGAAGTTCACGGGGATAGGGCAGCAACATTGTGACTGCAGAACAACATGGACTCTGTTATTGTATTTTATAGCATCTTGATATAACTTATCTTGGCTGTAGCTTATTGACGTTTTAGCAACTGGTTTTGTCCGACCTATGTGGATCTCTAGCAAACAAACAACACCTTTAAAACAAATACTTCACCACTATATCTATGTGTTTTGGACATTGTCACTGCAGTCAATCATGGTCTTTGTAATGTTAACACAATTACTATCAGTTGAATATGCCATCAGTCTATACAACCATATGAAGCTCTTTGTAGTTTTGTTTTCAAAGGTTTCCTACAAGCAAATATCATTAAAACAAATTGTATGTCTCTGATTCTCTTCTTTCTGATAATAAACTGCTCCTGAGAATTTTGCAGTTTGTGCCTAGATCTTTGTTATAAAAGATTTATCTTTGCGTCACAGCCACCTGCTGGGAAAGAAACCAGCTCGAAGCGCTTTCAGCATGTCCTTGAATGAAACCTTGTAACACTTAACGAAAAGCATTTTCCAAAACCTGTTTATAATGAAACAGCAGGGAAGTCTCAGGGTTGAGAACCTGTTGAAATACATTTTAGAACTGCACTTTTATAAAGTAGAATTTTAATGTTATGTAAATCATTGTAATGATCCCTGTAGGGAGCATCTCTTTCCAGGGAAGTCACAGGTCAGGGTCAGATACAGAACAGCACCTCTAACCTGGCACAGCAGGCATTCAGCCGAGGCCTGAACCTTTGATTTTTCAAGATGGTCCATCACCCCATGCTTTCCAAAAAGTGTCCTTTAAACCACATTTGAGTTTACTCTTTCCCGGGTCCAGCTGTTAAACTCATCAGTTTCCCCCTGACACAAGCGCACTGTACTCTCAAACAGTCTGGAGAGCCGTTTACAGAACAAGACCGGCAACCTTCAGTTCAGCCTCTTCAGAACCGAGTCTCGGAGCTGCCCCTCTTCAGCGTACTGCTGTTAAAGTCGTCACGCTCAAAACTCAGATTATTATGCGACCTGGATATCATTAGCAGCTTGTCCCGCTTGCTGTAGTCGCGCCTCACAGCCGCATCTAACAGCCGCTCGCCTTGGTCCTCCCTGTCCTCCAGCCGTGTGTAGCCTTTACTGCTTAGGTGGTTGCCCCCGTTGCTACGGCAGCTGTTGCTACGGTCGAGGCGGGGCCAGCTGGGGTGTTTCCGCTGCTCCGGGTGAACGCTGAGCATGCTCGGCCCGCGCTCCAGATCCAGAGATTTGGAGTGGCTGCCGACCATGTGCAAGGAGGAGTTGGAGCCAAAGTCGCTCTTTGCTGCTCCCGGGGAGAGCCAGCAGCCTGAGGTAGAGGAGGGGGCGGGGGAGAGGGAGCAAGAGGAGACGGAGGAACAGTGGGAGGAAGAGGAGGCCGAGTTACTCCGGTGTAAGCCCGGCGGTTTGGAGGCCTTGGCAACAGATGGTACAGGAACCACCAAAGACTCCATGGAGCTCAGAGGCTTCAACCTCTCTCCGTCCCTCCGCTCTCTTCCTCTCTCTTCCTCAGTGATCGCCTCCATCTCCGGTTCGTCAATTACACAGTTGTTGAGTTTTATAACCGGTAGATTAAATGCAGAGAGAGAGGAGGAGACAATGGAGCGTGCATGGTGTCCTCCTTTCTCCCCATCTCCATCCACCGACCACTGGTGGCGTACCGCGTCCGAGTGAGCCCTCCCGAGCCCCGGGCCGCGGTAAGAGCGATCCTTGTAGAGCGGTGCCAACAGCCCCGCAAAGCTACAATCCAGTTTAGCCTGCCCCCCGTGTCGGTGAGACTCCTCGTCCCCTAGCAGCACCTCCTCCTCTTCGGCCGACCCGCCGGACCGATTGGAGAACGCCAGGAGGGAGTTACTGCCCAATCGTCCTGCGTTATCAGCTCCAAATGCCCGAAGATCCCCAACTTCCCTTCCAAAGGCGCTGTTGCTGTGATGGTGTTGCTTCTGCTCTTTCTGCCTGAGGCGATGGATGTCAATGACGGTGGAGTACATGTCTCTCATGTGGATTATCTAGTGCAGAAGAGAAAATATGTCATCAGTAGAAGCAGAAAGAATTATTTTGGGATTACCTAAGAATATGTTTAATATTTGATTATATCATTTTATGGTTTGAATTTGTTGGTTGGAGGTCTGTGACCTTGAAATACTCTCATGTATTACCTGGAAGAGGGGAAGGCAGAAGGATAGGATTAATGGAATCAAGGAAGGAGGGAGAGAGGGCATAAGAGTAGAACAAATGTGATCAGGGGAGAATTGCAGATAGAGGGAATGAGGTTCGCTGAAATATGATTTGCATGTGAGTTATGTAGAGATGATGGCTGCACTGTGCATGCCCCTCAGTTTGTAGAGTGCAGGAAGAGCTGAAATGAGAACACCAAATCGGGGAGGAATATTGGCTTCATTTTCTATTGACTCATGTTGCTGAATTTAAACACCTGTTTGACATTGTCCCTCGTAACCTGTGAAGAAGCAATTTCGGAACAAATCACTGTTTCGCAACTTGGAAGGCAATATCAGTTCTGTGTTTATGTATCCCAGTACTTTTGGCCTTCGGCATGTCGACCTTAAATAAATCCACTGGCAACTCTAGTATTACATTTCTCCGGCAGTAGACACTAGTGTCTGGTAGACACTGATGCATGTCCAAGTGGGATTTCAGTCTTACCTTAGTTTCTCTATCTCTGTTTTCATGAAGAATGGCATTAGCACAGATAAAGATGAAAATCCCAATGCCCATTGTGAATGGCCCGAACATCTTCATCCGCTCAGAGTGACGGTGCTGTTCCAGGAACCGTGCCAGAGCACCTGCGATCTGCTTAGAGGGCGTACCTACATGCAAAACACATTGAAGGTATGAGCTATTAAATATGAGGAATGTTGATTTATAAGCCATGGAGCAGAACAAATGAAGTACTTAGGGTGCGTTCACACCAGCCTTTTATAGTCCGGTTGAATCGAACCCTGGTGCGTTTAGCCGCTTGGTGCGGTTCATTTGGGTCGGTGTGAACACAGTCCGAGACCTCTTACATGTAAGTGAACTAAACAACCGGACTCTGGTCCGCTAAAATAGGTGGTCTCGGAGCGCTTGCTTGCGAACTCTGGAGCGGTTCATTACTGGTGTGAACGCAGTCCGCACCAAAACATAGGAAGCGTAGTATTTACGTGTAACAAGAACGCGGATGTCTTCAAAAAATCTTTAGCGAAAGAGTCTTTCAAAACATCCGCGGTTGTTTAGTTGAGTGAAGCAGAATGAAGTGTTGAACAGTGTCGTGTAAAGTAAAAATGCTCCGTCACCTACATAAAATTAAGAACACCTATCGTCGGTGAAACGCCCCTCCTTACTGCAGAACGTCTCATTATATGTGTTATAATGTTTTTGAACGGACGTTGTCTGATTATATAATCATATGCGCGGGCCGCTAGTGTCTGTTGATCTCCAGATTAACAGCAGCATGAGAATAACCTGCCGAAAGTGCCGATGCTCCATGGCGGAGGCTCTGGTAGAAATTGCCGGGATTCACGTTTTTACCCCCTTAAAATGTCTGACCAATGGTTGAACAGCATTTCCGTACACATGACTTGTGTTTAAAGTTTATAGTCCGTTTGAGTTTTGCCCGTGTGAACGCAAACCGAACCTTCTGAAAAATGAAACGATGTAACAAACTGGTCTGGTGCGCACCAGAGAAGCGGACTATTAGGTGTGAATGCACCCTAAGAGACACAATCGATGGGCACTGACTCCTTTTAGGACAAATCAACCTTCAGAATCTAGCTTCAACTTTCAGGTCTGAAAACTAAATTCATTGGAAGATGGTCTTACACCTGCAATCCCTTTATTGGCAACAGCGGCTGGTCATTGGATTGTCTTATTGTCTGAAGTATGATTGTGTAGAAGTCTACAAGAAAACTGCCCTCTTTTTTACATTAAACACAGTTTGCGAATTATGTAATGGTCCCAATCAACAGTTTCAAGTCTTCCTCATAATATATATTTTGTATATATATATAGTCCAATTTAAAGTCCAAATCGATGATAAAGCTGGATATGCTTCAGGGCTGGTCAGGTTGCCTGGTTTGAGTGTTGTCTGTGTTTCACTATTATAACTTTATTCATTTTAAACCTGTATAATAATTTAATGAAAGTAACATTTTAGTCTCCTGAGAAAGGTCTTGTTCAGCATTTGGTTGTACTTGGCTTCAACCTCTTGTGTAACTTCTGGTTTCATAGAACCAGATGGCGATGGCCAGAATTATAAACTCAAAGCTCAAGACCGTCCTCAAACCAATGGGTGATGTCATAGTGACTAGATCTACTTCTTTGTCAATGCCAATGTAACTTAACAACCCTGGTTGACTTTCATCCCATTGTTCATTTACCTGGAACAATTTGACCCTTGCTGGAATTAGCCACGTCCTCATCTGTGAAGGGGATCTTGGCTGCATTTCCTTCCCCTGTTGCAGACGTTTTAGCTCCTCTTCCAGTTGCCGATCTTTCCGAGGGAATGTTTCTATGGTGCGGCCAGTAACCCAGCGTCGCCATGGCGATCCCTACGGATAATACGACCAGTCCAAGAATGAGGAAAAATCCGGAGGCAGAGTAGAGGCGTAGCCTGCCGCGTACTATGACAACATCAGTGCGTCGTTTCCGCTTTCTAATGAGACGTATGGAAAGAGAACAGAATTTGTAGTTTTTGGAGACAATATATGACCATTTATACAAAACATAAGCAGAGGAAAATCAATACAATTACCTGGGGGCAGCTTCTGGGGCATTTCCCTGGCCTGGCGTTGCATGTAAGTTCCGGTTATGAGAGCGGGCGGAGTCTTGCCGTTTTAGCTTAGCCAATCCAGTTAGCACACCTGCTGCTGCCATTCTTAACCTATAGAAACACATCGGAAGAAAACTAGTCATTTAGCAAACACTAAAAAATAAATATGTGAAAGAATGGTTTTTACAACCGTTTGATATAGGTACATTATGCAGATATATTAGCATTAAATAAAAATACTATCTGCAACCATATTTAAAACCGCTCAAGGGATGCACACATGTATTTCCACACAGCCAAAGTCTCCCAGATGCTTTGAATATAGGAGGTTTAAGACCATTAATATTCAGAGTGCAGCATCTCTCACAACTGCGCAGCTTTTTGTCTTCTTTTAAACAAATAGAGCTGGAGGCTTGTCTCATACAACAGTGACTTTTGAAAAGCTGCAGATGACAGTTTATTATTTACACACCTTTTTAGGCAAAGTGTGTCAGACTTGTGTCAGCGTCTTTACGAGTTCATGAAATTCCATTTACAGATGTACGGTATGCACACAAACATACACACACACCAATTGTTAGCTGTCAGCCTTAAGGACAACATCGGCAGGGGGATGCGTGTGTGTGTTTGTCTGTGAGTGCATACTGTGTATTGTCATACAGTTACCCCTGCATGATTTTTGCTTGCTGCATACTTCCTGTGTTTATGAGAGAGAAATTAAGTAAACAGGATAAGAGGTATAATAATAGAACTCAAACAGACAGGGAGAGGAACACACTTGGCTTGTGTTTTTTTATTCTTGGACAGTTAAATGCAAATTATATTTTCTTTCTTGGCATTATTGTCGCTATTTACGTTGGTGTTGCAGTTATACAATTGGAATTACAGTGCAGCATTCATGCCATAATATGAAAATGAATCATAGTCCCTCTGCTCACCAGCTGCTTGGATGTCTATTCATAGTTATTATTCCAGGAGTCTTCATTTGTTTTTAAATTCCTGTTAATCTGGGCTCACATGAACATTAGCATTGTCCTGTTTAGCTCTAAGAGGATTAAACGACTATATGTAATGTTGAATACCGGTGGTGGATGGCAATTTTAAAAGAATACTTCTTCAGATCTGGGTAGAATGACTTCATTGCTGCCAATGGGTTGGGTGCCATGTTCCTTCTTCATTTCTTTAACTTTAACATTTTGGGTGAAAAATGTAAAACTACATGTCACCACATTGATCCCCAACAGAGGTTTTACATATCAACAAGTAAAATCACCAGTGAGCAGCAGTGCAAACTTGTAAGATTGTTTGAATCGCCACCAAGAACATGTTAAACATATTTAGAACATTTTCACATTTTACTTAGTAAGCTAAAGACATAGTTCTATGACCATAACTCTCTTCAATTTCCCAAATTATTTTTATAATTTCCTGAGAAATAAGAAAGTCAACTCGAGGTGGAGCTACCAAACGTTTCTTAACTCTTGCAGAGCAGTAAATCCCACTCCATAGTACGTTGAAGGCTTTTGCCATTGTCTATTATTATCACAGGTAGCGCACCCTAAACACAAAATAAGAGCAATCGTGGCCATTAGTGACGTGTTATTTTCAATACAACTGGAATATTGTTGGTTATTATCATTCATTTTTCAGGATTGCTTCAATGTTTCTTCGGTTTTAATATTGGTTTTCTGTGTCGTGTGCATTTTTGTGTTGATAACCGCGTCCATAATAGGATAAAAACCCATGACCTTCGTCTTTCAATTTGTATAATTTCCCCCTCTTTGTCCTTGCTTCCACGTCGCTCTCTGTCCCTTTCTTTCTCCAAGAACACACTATCTGATCATCTCATCCCTCAGTCTGTGTGCTAATGCATTCTGGTTGTGTCCCTGAATAATTTTCTTTACCTCCACTCCAGCCAACTTTCTCACGTCTCTCTGTTTGTATTCCTCCCCCCCCCCCCCCCGATCTTCTGTCCCCTTAGATCCATTTTAATCCGTCTCTAATTCGAAATGTCCCCTATTTGGTCACTATCCTCTTTCTAATTCCCTTCCTTTCCTTTTCTTCCACATACATCAAGGCAATAAAGATTCAGAGTGAGAAAAAGATATTCAGTAATCAAAGTAACCGTGAATCACACAAAGGACAAGACGTCCTCTACGCTCTATCCTCCTTCTCACATCTTCATGTATTTTACATGTCAATCATCGCATTGGTAACACTGCTGTAGGAAAGTGCTTCACCACAGATGGTGAATCACACAAGGACAAACACAACAAGCCTCGCTTCTCGGGTTTTTTCTGCACTCCCTCTGACTCTCTCCCGCTCTCGATTCCTCTCACTCCTTGGTTAGCGTCAAATGTGAACCCACACAATGTTTTAAGAGCAGGGGGGGAGATTTCCTCCGTTAACAGAGACACAAAAAATGGATGGATGGGAGTACAGGGGAAGGATAGAGTAAAGGAGACAAAACAGACCAGCAGTAGAAATGGAGGGTGGACAAAGATGGAGATAAAAAGGGATGTTAAAGTACTTTTTTAGTAAGTAACATGACATGACATCTGACAAGTGACATGAAATTGAAAGCTTGTACAAAAAGCTCAAATGGACAAAAAGTTGTAACTTCAAAGGGGACAAAGTGGAGTGAATTGAAAGGCCTGACAATAAAGGATAGTGCTTTTCCTGCCAGTGATGACAAGACAGAAGTGGAAAACAAGCCAAGTGCATCTGTCATTTTAACAAGGAAGGAGTGAAAAAAAACAAGCACAGCGACCGAAACGCTGCTGAAACAGACACAACGGCGGCCTAATGAGAAACCACTTGGGCTCCGACACAACGCTGTGGAGAGTGAGCGATGGCCACATGAAACCACACATTAATATTCAGTTACCATCCTCAACACCAAGCGTCCAATCAGTGGGGCTGTGCATGGAAACCTCTTCTTTGCATACAGAATATGCAGAAGAAGAAATCCTTCAGTGTGTCTTGGAGTGAAATTATCCATGTATTCTGCAGCATTATTGGTGTGAATTCACAGACTGTATGAATATTAATGTGTCCACCTCCTGTCACATACAACGTCTGAATTATGCATGCCATTTTCCACTTCATCGCCTTATTAATCGGTTTCCTATATTAGTGCTTAATGAATCGTGAATTAGCCTCCTAATGATAACCCTAATACTGAAACTACTCGACTAAATTATTCCTGCTGTTTGTCTTTGCACAATCGCAGCAAGGCAAGAAAACTACAGAAACAATTTCATATAAATGTCATCCCTCAGGGAGAATCTATTTTGTAACTGGAGTTATTTAAACTCGAACGCATTTTTTAAATGTGCTTTTCTGAGAAGATTTTTCCCTCTTTACATCGTGATATTATCTATATCATCAATATCATCTATAGGAGACGGCACGTGATGTATTGTCCCTATAGCAACTACGTGTTCTGCTGCTAGGTGGCACGTTTCTATAGCAACAACCAGCTGTGTGCATAGGAATGACAGGTGTAACATAATTACAGTAAATCCTTTTAACGAAAGCATTTCTCAGGTGACCTCTGGATTATTTTTTTATTTTGGGTATTGTGTCACAGCGCATAAGTTGAAATGATTTCAGTCCTCTTCCCCTGTCACTTTCAAAGAGGCATGATTGAGTGGGGGAGGAAATGAAGAGGCAACTAAGGATGCTGGAGTAGAATTGGGGGTTGGGAAGTGAGATGAAATGGGAAGAGAAAGGAGGTGGTGAAAGGAAGACACCAAGGAGGAAGTGAGAAACGGAGAGTTTGACACAAAAGGGGCTTGCTAAAAATATAAAAATAAAATTGCACTCATAATTGGCATCGAGTTCGGGGTGTTAATTACATCTTGTTTATGTGATTTGAGCTGAAGAGAGAAAACGACGAAGAGTGTGGAAGAGGCACGAGAACAGGACATGTGGTAGTAGAAATAAGATAAATGTAAGTAAAGGGATGACAGCCTGAGGGGGAAGAAAAAGAGTAAAGGAACAAACTCCAGAGACTTTTCTGACTCTAGAAGCACGCTGAGAAAAGTTTGTCTCCAATGACTCACCTCAGTGAACTGTATGCTAACACGTCATGGAGAAAGGCATCTAACATGGACACATAGAGGAAGAAGGAAAGCTGGAAGGAGAAATGTAAAGAGAGGAATGTTCCAGGAGCAAGGCTTGGGAGAGAAAATGTTCATTATGTCTACCATTATAGGTACAATTTGTTTCTGTGTCATAAACCTCTCTAGGGAGGTTTACATAGTCCAAATTGCTCTAATAAATGAAAAAAAACCACAACAACGTGCTGGTACTGTTTGTTTTTTTACCTGAGCTGTATTTGAATGGAGACAACAGCCTATCTCCCCTGCTGCTGCTGTTAAGGTCACCCGCCATGATATCGTGGAGCTAAGAGTCAAACAGGAAGGCTTCCCTGAAGACAACACGACTACAGTATTTACCAAATTCGACAACAGAACTTTCATCAGTTTTTGCAAAGACTGCCTGAGTAAGAGCGAAAATACAATGAACAATATCCAATCTTTGTACAACCTGCTCTTGACACCGCTTTCAACTTGAAATTCTGAAGAGACTGTCAAGCATTGTAATGCCACGATCACACTTAAGTGATTTCATTTGCATGAACACCTACGCCACTTTCGATCACAATCATTTTGAATGGAATCAGGTTGATTTTCATAGACTGATTTTTTGTATGAGAATAAATTATGTAAAATGTCATTTGTTTCCCCTGTATGTAAGTCAAATCTTGAAACCAAGCTGGACAACTTCATCTTAAGTCAAGTGAAATGAATGATAGAAAAGTAAATTCTTGTATAATATAGGATAGGATGGTGATCTAACTTTTGAAGGACACTCGTTCTATGCCTTTGTTAAAGGATTATACCGTTGTTCATGTTTAAGCCCATTAACTACAAATTGTGTACACTTATATTACATGAATTACTTTCACTAATGGGTGCCGGGAGGAAATGCGGTTACAATCAGCTCAGGGTTATAATGGAACAGGTTCATGTGATCCCTTTTATAATGTCCATGTTGGCTTTTTGTGCCTGCCAGGTTTGAATTTTTAGTCAAATAAGCTGGCA